AGTGATCCCTATCCCCCTCCTACCCCCTTACCCTTTCATTGGTGGCTGTTTGTTCCAGACCATAATGGACAGGCATGTTCTGCTTTCTGTGTCACGCATCCTGGCCTTTTTCCTGCACCGTCCCAAACTGTCTGGACTGAAGCAACTGATGTGCACAGTGGCACTCAGAGCTGGGGCTGTAGGCAGAGCTGAGCTCAGCCCAGCTCAGCTTTCTGGTTGTTGACAGAGGATGCATGGGCAGAAGGGCTGCCCCATGCTGCTGGTGGTTTCTGTCCTGCCCTGTCTTGTCCAGTTCCAGGTGCCATCTCTGCTCCTACCCATCCACAGGTGACAGAGCCCAAGAAGAGTGCAATTGGTCTGGGGGTAAAGCAGCCTTTTATTCCTCCTCACCCTGATTCCACAGCCTTCTCACCTCTGCCTTTTTCTCTCTCTGCTCTCCTGCTTTCACCCAGTTCATCTCTCTAGGAGGCTTTCCCCTGCTTTCTCCACCTAAGTGGCTCTGGGGCAGTCTGGAGGAGCCCACAGGAAGAGGCAAGGAGCCTGGCAGTTCCTCCAGGTGCTGTCCTTCTGTCCCATTGTGGGGGGCTGCCAGGAGGACAGCTGGTACTCTCAGCCTTACAAAGCAGCCCAAGATACTTAGCACAGAGTCTGTCATCTTGTGCCTGAGGGTGAATGAGAGGAGACCGAAGGGGAGGGAATACCTCTCCCCACTGTGCACTGCTTAGAAAGAAACACAGTTTGTTATGATGCCAGAGCATCAAGCATGTTATTGCTCAATTTGCCTTGTGAGCCTCTTGCATGGCTTACATCATAGCTTTCAGCTCAGACTCATATGTTATCAGCTGCTAAAAGGACTAATCTGAAAAATATCTGACACAGTATGCAACTCTCTTAACTGCTAAAATAGTTTAAACAGATATGCTGTGCTTCTGTTAACACTCTCTTAGGCACTCATGAAAATGCTAATCACACAAGTAGATATATGATTTTGTATGCCTGAAACCAAAGATCATGCCTAGTTTTGGGAGAGATCTCATCTTGAAAAAAGGAAATAAAGATAGGTTTGTTGAATACTAACAACCACAAATTTCCTTTGAATCTCTAGGTCAAATTTGTCTCCCTTAACTACCTGATCACATACTCTGTCTCATACTCTGGGCTACACAAATGGCCAATGTTTGATTGACACCTTGCATTCAAGTACAAGACCAGCGCTTCAGTGTGCAAGGTATTCACAGCTAATCCCAAAGGTGGGGTAAAACTAGCTGGCGTTTGTGAGCAGTCAGACTGCACTCCTATTGAGCCTAATGTTGAGGTGGGCAAGATGTCTGCATCTTCCATGTTTCTTTGCCCTTTTGGTTTGTCAACATAACAGACTTTCAGGTCTTTATTTATGGCTTTGTGTCTTCTATCTGGCTAGTACACCTGTTTTTTCACTTATTTACTGTACACAATCCATCCCAGAGCTCCATTTGGGTGCTGTCACCAGGCTTGCCTGCTGTATTTGTCTTTCCAGGCATCAGCCTAGGACATCAGTGTGATTGATCCAAAGAGTGAGCTTCATTTTAGCCCTCTGAGGTTAAAAGGATCCCTTTCCTGGCAGTCCTGCATAAAATACGGCAGTCTGGGAGACAGTAGCAGTGTCACCTATAAACTGGTGGCCTGGTCCTGGAAGGGAAGAGAAGTGTAGCTGGCCATAGTTAGTCTACCTTGAATAGACCTGGGTTTGTTCAAAGCTGGAAGGGAATATTCTCATTCACTTGGAGTGTCTTGTCCTGAAGTCCCCCAGAGAGAGAGCAGATGGGCAGATGCAAAACAGCACAGGGCATACAGCTGGGTAGGGCTGTATATGAGGGACAAGCTTATGTAAGCTTATATGAGGGACAAGAGGGATGTCTAACAAGTGATTGCATATTTGAAGAAGATAATTTAATTCAACACTTCTAGTTAGCTCATAGAGGAGATGCATTGGCCGAAGCTGAATCAGTGTCCTTAAACCAATTTTTCTTGCCTGCTATAGAACAGCCTGAGAAAGCTGATGTGACTGAATGGACTAATGGCTACTTTCATAGTCTCTCTGCCTCCTTTTCTTTTAGCATGTCTTTTTTTAATGAGACCTTGCAGCAAGCGGACTTTTGATAATGACCTGAGCATAACTGGTTTGAGTACTGAATTACCTGTGCTGCTCATATCTTGATATGTGTGCTACCTGCATTTATGCAGTTGGAACCATGGCACTTGAAAAATACACACAAGAAATCATTTATTATAGCGGGTAACTAGATAAAGCATTGGAGATGTGACAGATGTTTTTCCCATATCCCTTTAATTTCAAAATTAATAATCTGACACTGTTCGAAGACTGGGTACCTCCCTGCATAAGACAGAATCAAGGGGCTACAGGAAAATAGTTGCCCTAAAGGAAGACTGAGGCTATACACTAGTTTCCCTTTTAATTTGTCCATAACGTCTGGAAACCCTTTCCTGTTATCCTCCCCTGCTCTTAATCTGAAATTGACTTTGCCTGCCCCCTACCAGGGCTTTTTAAATGCATGAATAGCACTGGATAGGATAGATCAGCATTAAAGCGAGACCAGAAATCTGATCAAATTTCTGGCTTACATTGTTGCCTACAGCAACACAATCTATACATCCAGAAAATGATTTTCTGAGGGGCTGCACTTGAATGCACAAATTGACTAAAAAAAAAAAAAAAAAAATTAACCTTCTTGACTTTTACCTTGCTTAGGCTATTTCCCACTTCCAAAAGTGTCTTCTATTTTTCTTCCAATAGCATAGAAACCAGAATGTAACTCAGTACCATCAACTAAAAAAAAAAGGGTAGACATTGCATTTCAACATGTTTAAACCCTTTATGCTTTCTTTTTCTAAAAGTGCAGTTTCAAGTGACATACTTTTAGAATTGCAGGAATGTCTTTAAGAGATGTTTTTAACCAGGAAGTTGTAATAGAGAGTAAGGGACATTCAGCTTCATTTGGTGAAGAGCAAGGCAGGGAGACAGTGGAATGCCGATGCTGTAGTGTAACCTCCCGTAGCTTGTGACCTTATGCGGGTCAGATTATTACTGGAGACACGTTTTTTAGCAATAATAGCTATGATGACTAGTGTCAGACATAAACACTGCTGTGTACCTTCTTGTAAGAAGGGAGTGCTTCAGTATCTGGGAGGACACAGGAAATGTAGGTTGTGAAAACAATAGAGACAGCCAAGGGGCAAAGTGGGCTACTGAAGAACCTGTCTACCTTAGTCTATCTTCATCTTCCACATTGCCTGTTCCTGAAACACATATGTCCTGTTCAGGTGAAACACTCCATTCCTTGTGGCTAGCACAACAGGTCTCCAGCAGTATACACCAATTTGTTTTCCACCTACAAGTAACTGTAGTGAGATGATGGTCCGTGAGAGCCTAGCTGAGCCTCTGAGCTGAGGCATGGAAGATCCTACAGACTGTTGCAACTGAAGAAGTGACTAAACTGGCAAAGCCAGAGCGTAACATGGTAATTAGTGGTGATCCTTGCAAGAAGTCCACAGAACAACTGAGAAACCCAGCTCACCAACACCCACAGTCCTGTGGGGCAGCAAGAAATTGTTACCTGATCTGCTGCTAACCCCTCTGCAGAAACAGAATTTCTTAGTCCTCTGCAAACGAAAAGCTGTGTCAGCTGAATGAAGTGTGGCAAGACTGGAACAATGTAGTTATGGGAAGGTGCCCTGGCTGCAGCTACCCAGGAGTTAAACTGCGATCTCAGAGAAGATTTAGATGTGCAGAAGAACTAAAGGCAAAATTTTGTCCCCATTTGGGTGTAAGAAACAGAGTTTTGTTTTGTAGCAGTTTGTGTTTTGTTCTCTGAGGCCAGAGCAGAATTAGACACATGGTAACCAGGACATACATCAGACAGGATTAGGCTCAGCACTTATGTGCTATTTTGGAAGAGGGGTGTGTTTCTACTCAGAAGTGTGAGAAAGAGCAGCAAGGATGCAAGAATGCTCTAATGAGAATAATTCAAACATCATACAGGCCTGCTAATTGGCACAGTGCCTGTTCTTTTTAGTGGACAACCATATATACATTCCCCATCCAATCAGTTAAATCACTCTTCCTCTATCCTTAAATGAGAAAAGTCTTCAGTTTCTGGAAGTGTACTGCTGGTAATTGCAGAAATCCATTGACATTTTGTTCCTGCCAGGGAGGGTCTGATTTTGCCAGGGGGCAAGTAGATCTGTCCCTCCCACACAGCAGACTCCCTTGATGACTGAAAAAAATCTGTTTCACATTTATTTTCCTCCAGTCCTGCTTGCACAGGGATAACTTGTAGTGGGCTGTTTCTAGCCACTATGCACAGTTGTTTGCAATGGAGAAGCAAGTCTTGTCTGCTTCTTCAATCCTCTTAGGACTTACCTTGATCAACAGGCATGTGTTCCTGTTAACTTAGGAGACACAAGAATGATGACTGCTGTGCACAGCCTCTCTAGAATAAGCTTTCTGTGAACTAATCAGCTTGTCCTGTCCCTGGTCACTGCACTCTGGCTGCAGCATGTAGGTGTTGGATGGATGGGAAACAAGCAACAAAGCAAAGCTGCAACTCACAGCTATTCAGCCCAAAGGCTTGTGGTGCTGTCCCTAACATGGGTGGGGTGTTCTTAAGTGTTATAACTATGCGGAATTCTTACTCCCTCTCATTAGCAAGAAATTTACACTCCTCCTTTCCAGTTGTACCCTCTGAACTGTTCCTGCCTTCCTTCCCAAAGGTCCTAAACACTCACTGCTGTTCAACTTCATTCCCTATTCCACATGGAGAGGGCTAAGTGTAGCCTTGTAACCTGTACAGTTGTTGCTCATCAAGGACAAGAACCACTAATCACTGGCTCCATTGTGTAAGCCCAATACTTTGTGGCTCTATTCTGTAAACCTGATACAATCCAGGCCTTGTTAATGACAACTTTGAAGGAGAGATAAAATTCTTACAAGAGGTGAGCACCTTGCCCCAGAAGGTGCCAGAGGTTGGATGATTGCCCAAGAAGCATGAAGTCAGCAAAAATCTGTGGAAACTGGGGGAGAAGTAAAGGTGGCAGGGGGAGATCATGACCACTGACTCAATTCAAGACCAAAAAGAATTGCCTCCCCCCACACCTGCAAGAAGCATGCATGCTAATTTACACAGAACGTGTGGCTAATTTAAATATAATTAACCAGTAGCAGGTGGAATGGTAGTTATGGACCAATGAATGTAAACTTAGATAGGTTTTTACTAATCATGTACTAGGATAAATAGGCTGTCGTTCCTTTGTGTAGTGTGCTAGCTTTGCAGAATTACCTCCTAGCACCCTTCTTTGTGCAACTATGGAATAAAATTGGTATCTCAGCTCATTGTATGAGATTGTCTTTTGCACACTGGGTAATGAAGCCCTGTTTGAGGGACAACACAAGCAGACTTACTAGGCAGTCCATAGAAAATGGGAGCAGCACAGACATCCTCTTTGCTTCCTGTCTTTGAAGCTGGTCATGCTCTACTTGCTATGCATCCTAGAAGGCATCTTCTGAGCACCCAGCCCAAACCATATCATTGAGCACTCCGAGCAGATTTGTTGTGTTTCAGCTGCCATCAGGGGCCTTGAGATATTTTTCTCTCCTTTTCTATTAATGTCATCAGGTTCAGATGCATTTTTGTTTTGGGGTCCTTCCAAGAACTGGGGCATTGCATGGGATTGGTGCTTCATATTCCAAAGATAGGCCATTTGCAGCTGAAACCTCCTGCAAGTTAGCTGAGAGAGAACCCTAAAGTATGCTAGTGGTAACAAACTTCAGCTGTAACCAGGTTATGTACAGCACTGTGACATTATCACTGTCACTTACATTAATAGCATTAGCAATACTGTTTTTAATTCCAGTCATTGCATTAGTGAATGCTAATAGAAAAGCAATCATTCATGTCCTTGCCAAACCTTTGCAGCTTTGTGAATGATGGCAGAAACATCTGTCATCTTTTGAGAAGCTGAAGAATGCTCATCTACACAACCAAACTATGATGATACTGAGGCTAATCAGCACATGGAAGTGATGTCCACAGTAACTGTAGCAGGTTTTCTCCTTCAGGGCAAGACATTACTCTTCAAAGACCAAGAAAATCAGCAAAGTTTCTCCTGGGAAGGGTAGGGATAAAGACTCTGTGCATTTAATCTATTTATCTTCACGTCTGTGTTAAAATGAGCAACAAGCATTAATGATTCATAAGAAGGATTCTCTTTGCCCAGCTATTTCAGAGCTTTTTTTTGCACATCTCCAAACCCCTCCTACAGAATCTGACCCCAGGCATTTCTTCTGTTTAATGCAGTAGTGGAAAATGCCGTTCCAGAGATTCAGCATTCAGCATACATGACATGGGTCATTTTGTACTTGGACTGCATGAGTGAGATATCTTGGGGAGAAGAATGGTGGGTAATTTATTAGTCTGAGTACAAGAGTGAGAGTTAGGACTACCATGTTTAGCCATAGAAATAGCTCAGAAATTCCTGGAAATGTCAACTATTGAACACCTTCCCACTCTTCATATAGGTATAGCCAAGCTGGTAGATCAGTGTTAAATACCACAGCACAGGGCTTGATCTGCACTTCAGTCTTGAAGTCTAGCTAAGTAGCCACGTGGCCAGTGCATGCTTGGCTTTCTGCTGTCACTGCTATTTTGCTATCAACAGCAAACGGGTTTCATTTTCCCTTAGAGGGATCCCAGCTTGCAAAGTCCTGGGGACTCTCAGAGAGCTCAGACCTTTTAGAGTTACTATGTGAGTCGTCCAGGAGATTTTGCATTTGGATGAGTGCATTTACGTGCTTTAGGCAAAATAAACATCTTGCATGGGCAGTGGATAACATCCAGCAACTTCTTGCCACACAGGTACAATGTTTATCTACAGGTGGATGGGACAGCTGATTACAGAACTACAGTCACTAGACACGTGGCACTGCTTGGATGTACAAAGATTGTTGTCTCAACCTCAACCACCAAGCAATATCACCATCTAAAACAGCTGCCCTCCTCTCCTGAAGTGTCTGTGGTGAGAGCATCTGCTGTCAAGTGCTGTCTGTGCCCCCAGGCTTTGGAGGACTCTAACCCAGCCTACAGGCTGAAAGTTTCCATTGCACTTCATCATCTTGGCTTCCACCCACCACCCTTCCAAGAAATCAGGGAAAATATTTGCTCTTGGTGCAAGAAATTGTTCAGCTTCTAAGTCATCAAATGCCTCTGTTCTGAAGTAATTCTCACTACCATAGCTGTCATAGCAGAATATTGACACTGTCTCTGGTTTCAGGCCAACATACAGAAAGTCAAGCTGTGAATTTGTTTCTTTCTTCTCCAGGCTGGAAGGAGCACTGCTGAGATCCTGGGTCTCCTCACTGGCATCAGGAAGAAATCCCTGGATAGGTGTCTTCAAGCCAAAGGGCTTCCCTGCCAGTCAGGGAGCACTTAACACCCCTCAGAGCAAGTTGCAGCAAAGAATTACTGACCTTTGGAACCTCCACACATGTCCAGGGCATGATGCACTGCAATGCACTCAGAGGTCCGTCTTGATTAGAGCAATGCTCTGAACACTTTTGGAGCTCCCAGGTCATCCAGGTCTCTGGGTGCCACTCCTTAACTGCAAGAGGGTTTGAGTATTTCCTCTGAAGTTCAGCATCATCATAATCCTAAGGCAATATGGCACATGCCCCATCGTGTCAGTTTGTAGTAAATGATATCTTGCTTGGTGAGTGTAACAAAACCAAATATGTGCTTGATGAAAAATCTGTCTATCTTTTATGCCTGAGACAGAACCTTACAGCCCCCCCTTTGTTCTATTCCTCCTTGAAAGTTCCTTCCATTTCCTTAAGTCCGCATATGGCAAGGTGATGGGAAACAAACTTGGCCCTTTTAGATTTTCAACAAAAAATATTTCCAAAGAACATCCATCCAAAGAACATGGATGGAAGTATGTGCTGACATTGATGATGTGATCTTGGTGAAATACCAAAGAAGGAGCAGCAATCATGCTACTCTCCTGCAGCTAAGAACCTATTGCAGTCACCTAGGGACCAAGCTGAGAGCTGTTCTAGTGCTGAGCCAGTAGAGTGCTTGTCAGTCAAATGAAGTTAAAAGGCTGCAAGTAAAGTTTACTAAAAATACCATGGTTGTCACATCTGAAGTCCTAGAATTCGATTTTAGATAATTATGAGAGTCACAGAAATATTCATATAGGTTCTGGACTGTATCAGGCAGGCAAATAAAGGAAAGAGCTGAAGGTGGATTAAACAGACAATCCTGTTACCTGGACTTCAGGTTACCTGGACTTCTAGTCTGTTGCCAGGATTCCATTAATCACAATTTCCTCTTTGGATTTGGTAAAACTGTTTGTAACAGGCTATATAAGTACTATTTGAAGGAATTTGGCTCTTGGAAATGAAAGTAAAAGGGACTAAAGTATAAGAGTTCTTTTCTGTTATTTCATTGATTTGATCCAGAATGTGTGATTTAGTACCGTGACAACCGAGCTGTTGGTTATTAAATAGACACAAGATAGCTGTGGTCTGCCAGTTCTTATCTGGAGTTTTATTACTTTGAGCTTCATTTCATAATCATTAGCCATCAGATAAATACTGCATGTTTTAGTTGAATATGGTAAGACGGTGTGTGCAGATGCTAAGATGCCAGAATTACAGGTTTTTTTTTAATGATTAAAATGGTTCACGTATCACTACGATTGTATTATCTTGTTTTCTAGAGCTTTTACTAGGGGGTGGTTCTAAAACTGGATGCTGAAATGCAGGCTCCTGAATTCATACTGTGGTATTCATGTTAGTGGCCTTTATTTCCTGTAGTTTTGGATTACTACTTACTTTCACAGCTCTAATAATTCCAATGTTTTTTCCAGGAATGATGCTGTAGGTGCAGGTATCTGAGTCTCCTTATATACATTCAGCAGATTACTGTCTGTTTCTGTGGAGATCTGATTTACCTCACCCTCAACTTTGAGACCTCTAGGGTGCAAAGGTGGAGCACAAGATGGGAACCTCCTGAGAGCCAGAACTTGGGACAAGAATTGTTCTTTGGAGAGTTTCTCCCTTTGCTACATATAGAGAGGGTCCGGGACCCATCACTTGGGCATCTTCAGCAACTCTCTTTCTGTTTGGGATGAATCCTTTGTGTCTAGCGTTATTTCAATGAAATGAGAGACACACAACTACCCTTGACCCTAGTCTCAGCCCCTCAGTCCTCCACCTTGCCAGTCCCTTCTCATCTGTGGCTCTGTGAAGGCTCCTCTGCAAGCTGTGATCCAGCCTGTCCAATTGGGGAAGCAAGAGGCATTCTCTTCACAGTGGTACAGGTCAAATACTACACTCATTGTCTCCTCTCTGCTGTGCAAAAGGTGTTTCAACTTGGATTCAGGCAATTTTGCAGCTGCTGAATGGCCTTGTTGAGGTATTTTTCCTTTCCTGTCACTGAGCATGCATGGAACATCAGGAAATCATTACAGCAAATTGGGAGACTGTAGGTGTGTATACACATAGTTAATGCATCACCCAATTGTCTGCAGTAATGTGCAAGGTAAGTTAAAATACATCCCACACAATACTTGGCTTCTGAAGCTTGGTTCCAAATTGGCCATTACCAGAGTAATGATTTAATCAGTTGTTAACAATCACTGTACTCCCTACCAACTGATGAGCATGTAAGTTTGCAGTGACTCCCTTACCACCTCTGTTGCTGTCATCAGAAGAGCTGGCCTTACTTCAGGTGGTTTCTATGCACTGCTGCCAGGGTTCCTCTCCCCTCAATTCCCAGGGCATTGCATCTAGTGCAGGGAAATCTCTTGCTATCCCCAAGGGAAAGAAACAAAATGGAAACTCAGCAGCTTCCATTTATATTAAAAGTCCAGCTTCCAAATAAAGTTGGTGCCAGGTTTACCTCCTGGATCTGAAGTCTTACAGGGTGAAGTACAGCTTTCAAGGGGAATTAATTCTGTTCCTACTGATGGCTTTGTCTCAGGGTCAGACAATCTGTGCAATACTTAGAATCTGCAGAGCTATAAATACCCCCTGGTGGAGAAAGACGTACTGTTCTCAACTCCATCAACGTAGCAGCCTTCCTAGATATGTGTGGGTCTGATCATGTTCCACCTCTTCCTTGCAGAAAGAGTCCTTGTCTTGATTGGTGGAAATGGGGGCATCAGGAACATAACAGTGATTTGTGACATTTTCCTGCCACCCTTAGTCTGAAGACATGGGGAATAATTTTGCAATCAGCCTAACTCTTCTAATAAGGTCTACTTTGTAATGACTCCAGCAAAAGGCCATAGCATCAGGTAGAAGGAACACTCTGGGATCAGAAATTACCAAGACTCTGTCTTTTTTTTCTAAATGGTAAAATGAGATTTAGCCCTGAAGGTTCCCAGTGCCATTGTCAAAGGTCTGTTTTCACCAAAAAAGAGTTCTCAGGCTCATAACATGAGCACAAGCCATGTTGCTTTTCTTGCACTACACAGGTTAATGATAAGCAACTAGCTGCAACATCTCAAGGCATTTGATATAACTTTCTTCCCATCAGCTTTAGCTGAGACAGAGCTAACTTGGAGATTGTGTCATCCAAGTCATGTGCTCATAACAGGGTGGAGTTGGTGTGCTAAGAGCATACCCAGCTATGGGCTGCAGAAATGAGGAGAAGGGTTTGCCTGCTTTTCCTGTAGTGTTCCCTGAGGCCATCTGCTTCCAGACCTTGTGGAGAAGTGCAGAGGCAGGAGCTTGACAGAAAGAGACAACAGGATAAAGACAGCATGGAGTGACAATGTTTTGGCTGGACACACAAAGATGTGTTCCCTAAATGACTCTGCTTTGTGTCAAATGTGACATGAGTTCCTTAGTCCTGTTGATTTTGAGTGGTTCTTAATTGCTTCAGAAATTCTCTACGTTCCTCTCCCACCCAAGAAGGGCCAGTGGAGGTGCCTGAGGAGGAGACAGGCTTTTCAGAGCAACCCATTCCTGTTTCAGCAGCCTGTGATGGAAGATAAAAGGAGCATCTTCCTTTCCTCAGTAGTACTACTGTGCAATGGAATGCTCGCTTGGGCTTGCTCTGAGGTGACAAGGCCTTATCCAGCTAAGATGTTTAGGTGAGGCAAATAGCCCGAGCACCCAGATTTCCGGCTACAGGATCTCTCTACATGGGATGGCAAGACAGGAAAGTTGTCAGAGTTGTCAGTAACTGAACCTGTTCTGAGGTCTCACTGGCCTGCCAGGTCTTCATTCTCTGTGTTGAAAATGAAAGAGGGAGGGTGACAGAAAACTCTTGCTTCCTCCCTTCCTTCTTCCCTCTCCATCGCTCCATGATTCTATCCTTCCATTCTTCCATCCCTCCATTCCTCCATCCCTCCTCAGTTTGTCATCTTATTCAGTACCTATAGGTAGGTGGAAGGAATCTGACCTACTTGTTTCCACCAGGCCACAAGTGGATGTGGAACACATTCAAGATGTCTTTGCTGCATTCCCCCTTCCTTTGCTCACTCCTAGCTATCCTGCTCTTATTTAATGCTTGCCAATAGTAAATGACTTTACATACCAATATTATGATACCCAGATCAGATATCTGCCCTGGTCTCTCTCCAAGAGTGCAGATAGGTGGAGAAGGGTAAGTGCAAAGCAAGTGTACACAATATTTCACATTATACAACCACCATGTGTTTTCAGTTCAGGTATTTCTCACATCTGATGGGGTTTCCATGGATTTAGTAATTCTTATCAGATTACTGGTCAAGGTCTGGACTGATATTGAATCCACAGAAACGTTTACAATCCACAATCTCTTGCAGCAAGTAGTTCTCAAAGATCCCTATACCTCACATGAAGAGCCATTTTTTCTGAATATGGTGCTCAGTAGTTTTGATGCATTAACTCAATTTCTTGTATTGGAAGAGGTACTGAAAAGCCAGTCCTTTCCTACCCTATAGGAGATAGTTGTTTCCACAGACCTTTGTGATATCTCCCCTCAGCTGCCCTTTCTTCCAGACTAATGAGATCCAGCTTACTCAGTTCCCCCCAGACCTCAGTGGCTCCAGATATTTGTTCAGCCATGTTGCCCTCCAAACCCTTCCCCATTATGCTATTTCTATCCTGAGACAAGAAGACCAAGACCACTCATATTTAAGAACTGCACAAATCATGACTTTATATAGGTGGCATGGTAATGTCATCTAATAATTTCTAGTATCTGATTTACTTTATTGACTGTTACTGAGCAGTGAGGTGACATTTTTGTAGAACAGGCTCTCACAGTCCCAAGACTGTGTCATGTCTGCTCCCACCCCA